ATGCTCAAAAGACTATTTTACCCTTATAATTTATAATTTTTATTTAATATATAATTTTAAATTTGTAATCTATAATTTATAATTTAACAACACTAAAAAAATTTCATTTATAAGGCCATAATTTTTAGGATTATTTACCAATAAATCCTACTTCACAAACTGTTATACCAAATAGTCTCACTTTTATTCTTTTATACTCGTTAGTCCTGCTGGTAGGTTGATTTGGACATTTTTGTTTTTTTTTTTTCATTTTTGGTATCACTGTGTGGACGAGCATGCCCTTGGGTTAATGTGGTATTGTTTTGCGACGTTAGTTCTTTTTTTGGAAACGTTGCTCATTCTGGGTTGGCTAATTTTGATGATACATTCAAATACATTTTAGCCATTGTGAGGTAGGGTTTTCGAATTTGAATGTGTTTCTTCCTTGCTGACGGCTGTGTGACACACCCCCAGAGATTCGAAAAACTGCCGTGTATACGCCATTCTCTACCTGGTATCTCCTCGAGGGCCAAACGGGACGTCTGTGCGAGCAGAATCTGATGAAGCGTAACAGCCCTCTTCTTTGGGCCAACACAACGTTCCTTGATCATCACATAATCATTCTTAACCACACCATAGTAAGGGAGAACTCGGTGACAGCAGTGTAGATAACAAGATCAGGATACTTGTCTTTAAGCAACCGTATCGCTCGAGGCACTAATCCATTAACATTATATGCTTCAACACCTCAATACAGTGCCAGTGGCGCCGGTGGAGCAAGCGGTGCAGGTGGAGGAGTAGCAGGAGGAACAACTGGTGGTGTTGTCTGGAGGATGGTGAGGAAGGTGGTGGTGATGGGTAATGGCAGCTGTGGTGTCTGCTGTGCTGTCTGTGTGTATGGGTTATGTGTGAGAGTCTCCTCTGTGCCGTGTGTGTGTTATGCGCTGGGTGTATCTTAGAGAGAGAAGAGAGAGAGCTAGGTTTGGTGTGTGCTGTGTGTGTGTGTGTGTGTGTGTGTGTGTGTGTTGTGTGTATGGTGTGTATGAGTATGGCTACTAGGTATGTGTGTTAATGGTGTCTTGTGTGCATGGTGTCTTGTGTCTGCTAGATAGAGGAGATATGTGTGTGGCTGGGTCTCCATGTGAGAGAGAGAGAATGCTGAGAGAGATGAGTGAGTGTGTTGTAGAATGGGTTAACCTTGAACGGGTTGTGGGTATGTAGGTGTCCAATTAGTCACAATTGGAATCCCTTCCAAATTGTGTTGTGGGCCTTGTGTTAAACCCCAAACACACCAACCCAGCCCAAAAAAATCCCTTATACGGTTTGGCATTCTGTGACACCCTCACAATGTATCACATGCAACACACCACACATCCATTCACTAATTACGCACGTGAAACACACACGCGCCACACCCAAAACACGCCTAGCAGCCGCATATGACTAATAACGTCTAAATAAGGGTAATTACGTCTCTCATAATTTCTCAGGACTAAACGGTTTACTAGAATAAAAATGGGACCAATTGGTTCATAAGTTTACATTTTGGGATTTATTGGTAAATCTCCTTAATTTTTAATTTATTATTTTAAATTAACAACACTAAAAAAATAATTTTATTTAATATATAAATTTAATTTTACTAAAAAAACTATAAGGCCATAATTTATTATTTTTAATTTAATTTAATTTATAATTTATAATTTATATTTTTTGTTTAATATATAATTTTAAATTAACAACACAAAAAAATAATTTATAAATGTTCAAAAGACTATTTTACCCATTTTCAATTGTTTATTAAGTAAGAGCATGAGGGTAAAATGAACATTTCACACATTAATTCCATGGGATACCAATCCCATGGAAATAATCACACCCCTCCCCTTTGGATATAATAATCCCTCATATGAGGGATTAATAGTCCGCAGAAACTATTAATCCAGAATAAAAAAATTGAACCAAACAACAGACTATTAGTCCGGATAGACTAATAGTCTAATCCCATAAAATAATCCCCTCAAAACAAACACACTCTAAGTTCCATCATCTAAAATTATATTCATCTGCTTTTAAATATATGACAAGAAAATTGGGAAACAAATTGGGGAAAATAAATTAGAGCTAGGGAACGAGGAAATAAATTATAAACACATCTAAAATGATATTTGAAACTAAATTTTTGCATCTGCTACACTGTCCTCGTAAATATAATTATATCCATCTATTTTGTGCGTCGGTATTTTTTTGCCAATCACAAAAACAAGAATTTTGCCATCACTTATTTGTGTTTGATGTTTTCTGTTGCAAAAAAGAAAAAAGAAAAAAAAGGACACAAAAATGCATTTTTTTAAGAATATTTTTAGAAAAACAAAGAGAACTCCAAAACCAAAAAAATAAAAATAAAAATCTACAATTTTTTTGTTAAAATATCTATTTATCTATCTATAATAAACAAACATAGAGAAACTAATCTTTAAGTTCAAGAACAATTAAAACATGCTTAAATGGTTATCAACAGACAATGGACAACCAGAAAAAGGTTACATGAATCAAATAATTCAAGAAACTGATCACTAGCTTGGAATTTTGGCAATATAGATGGAGGGAGGAAACACCTAAGAAGTTTCTCAATTCTTTTGTAGTAATCATCCATTTCGAAGAAATTGAAATCTGGCAAAATCTAAAAACGGGTGATTGCTAATTAATTTTTTGAAAAATTACAACAACAACAAAAAAAGAGCATAAAGTTTGAATCTTGTAAGAAATAAATCTTGAATATTCAATTTTGTCAATTTAAAATCTAATCTTTTGATTTGTTTTCAATCTAAATCATTCGTCAATTTTTGTTAAGTAAAACTGTCATAAAAGTGTATTTTAGTTATTAAACTCAATGAAAACTAATACTTTAGACATTTTCCATATACATACATTCAGTGGGGGAGACAAGATTTTGATTCATAGGGGGCACCATTAATCTTTAGCGATATCAATTACAAAACTTAACCAAATCCAATTTTCATTTGATGATAGAATGACCAAAGATCAATGTGATGTCAAAATTATGTGCCTTAAAGCATCTTCAACGTTTAACTTTTTTTTTCCATCAAATTTGAGTAAAAGTTTCATTTGATATCACACATTCCAATGGAGTGCGGTGGAATTTCTTTAAACCATCGATCGACCGGGAGGATGACCGGGGGATGTTTAGACGATCAACCAACTAGTGTAATTTTTTCACATATTTTTGTAAGGAGATGGTTGTCCAGAGGGACAACCGGTTGAACGTTCGGTCGATCGCTCGGTGTCTGCAACTCCAACGGCTATGAACAGTGAATTGATGAAAGCCACAATCCATTCTCAATTTGATAAAAGATTGAAGATATTCTGGATTTGATACCTTTTTGGTGAAAGGATTGGAGCAGCAAAATGCTTCTCTTTTCATTAAATTTGAATTTAATGAAACAAAAGGTGCAGCATTAGAGATGGTCTTAGATATGTTTTAATTAACCGATGCTTCTTTTATTTGCTGTTTTAGTTGATGATAATTACAGTTTAAAATGTAATAACATGCATACAAAAAGAAAAAAAGAAGATAGATATGGAGAAAAACAAGAGAGAAATGAGAGAGATATAAATAATTATAAGAGAATATTTTTTCTAATGGTAAATTATAAGGAATTTATTAAAAAGAAAGAGAGAAAAAAAAGAGCTATAAATATTTTGAAACATATTTAAAAATTAAAAGGGAGTTAAATTGAAAACTTTTTCTAATTAGAGGTAAAAGTGTAATTTTCAAAAAACGAGGGGGACACGTGTTCCCTGCACCCTGTGTAGATTCGTCCCTACATACATTAAAAGTTGAGTTTAATGACTAATATATTTTTTCCATCAATTTTACTTAATGCAAATATATGAATGGTTTAAAATAAAAATAATTCAAAAAATTAGAATTTAAATTGATAAAATTAAAAATTTAGAATTTTAATGATTAAATTAATGGTGGCGGAAAGTGGGGATGGTGTAATGGTGGAGATGATGGTAACATTAATAAGAATTTAATGTGAAAAATATTTTTCATATTTAAAAAATAAAAAACATTTTGGGCATCCCATAAAAAATATTTTTTTAAAAAAAATATAGAGAAAATTTTAACTCCTCATCAACTTTTTTAAATTAGATTAGATTATTTACTGCATAAATCATGAACAAATTTTCAAATAGAAGATGAAAGAGCACATAAACGCGCTCAGAACAAAAATGAGTGTGCGAGAGCAGTCACACCTCTATGTTCTGCCCACGTTGGCTCTACAAAAGTTAAGGCTCGCACCCGTATGTGCTTCTATGCTTGGATTTTGTACAAGCACTTAGCACAACTAATGTGGTGTTTGATTAGGAAATTTGGAAAGAGATTTATAAAGTAAAATATGAATAAAATATATTTACATTTCACCTAGTTTCACACACATCTTTTCCTTTTTATTTTTCAAATCCCAAATTTCCTAACCAAACATAGCGTAAGAGGATAGATTCTAAATAATAAAGAAAAATGTTGTTTACTATGAATATTTTTTTCCAAAAATTACTCCAAATGGATTTAAAGTTTATAGATGTGGGTCAAAATCAAATAAATATAGCTCATAAATATTTTTAAAAGAAATAATTTTTCTAAATATGCAGTAATGTTAAACAAGAAAATATGCAAAAGACTTGTACCAATTTTGTTTGGAGTTGCTTAGCATTTGCCCAATAGCATGGGAATATACATATTTGTGTAGATTTCACATATATAATAACAAATTATACATATATATGTGGTCTGATCAGATCATATTATTGAGACAATGCCTACTGACTAATTGCTCTGCTTGTTAATGAAATATGCTATGCATGACATTTTGTCCTATATTTGATGACAGAATTTTCCAGGAAAGTTCCTCACTTGTAAAGGCAGTTTGGAAATCACAATCACATATATGAAATCTCACTCTATAAAAAGAGATATAGCAAGTAGTAATTCATGTACAAGTGAGTAAGGAGAGAGAGGAGAGAGAGTAGAGAAGAGAGGAAATATACATATATAGATAAGAAAAGAGAAAGAGAAGAAAGAAGAAATGGAGATAGTGGAAGCAAGCAGCTATGAGGCACTGCCACTACTCTCATTGAACCATGTCTCTTTGTTGGTGAGATCGGTGACCACTTCTGTACGCTTCTATGAAGATGTCCTCGGCTTTGCTCTCATCAAACGTCCCTCTTCTTTCAATTTCCATGGAGCTTGGTCTGAGTTCTCTCTATCTCTCTCTTGATTGTTCTTTGTTTTTGCTTTTGATCCATTTTGTACTACTTTGAAAAGGCATGGCTTGGCAGAGCAGAAACAAGAACAGAGAAAAGAGATGCTTAATTATACTATCAGTTTATTACTGTTACATCTATTTATACAATGTCTATTAAAAATACAAAGTTTTAACTATTTGTAAATTAAGATTATAACAACGAGATTTGATTTTTTAAATAAAGGAATCACTATAAGCCACGTCATTTTGTATAATAATTCTGCATAATTTTTATGTTCTTATATCACCACTCTGTCCTCTTTCTTCTTTTAGTTTTTCATCTTTGTAATATTGCATAATTATCAAAATAATAAAAAAAATTGATGAATTTAAAATATATGGATCAGTTACATGTATATCAAAATACTAAATTTAAATTTATATCATCATATATTAAAATTGTAGTTACTATTTAGTTATTTTTTCTAGCTATATAACATTTTTGTTGTTCATCTAATCGATCAACATATCAAACTACAAATTAACTTATCTAAATTTTATGCAGGTTATTCAATTATGGAATTGGGATACACTTGCTTGAGAATGAATCCATGGATGAGTATGACACCATGAATGAACCACGACCCATTAATCCGAAGGATAACCACATCTCCTTTCAAGTAAGAACTAAAACAACCATACATTTACTTTTCTGATAATGTTTTAGCCACTAATCAGGTTAAATAATACATATATCATGAAAACAGCCTCTCCATATGCTGAATTAAGATTGTTTACATTTGATCATTTTTTATTTCATCGTGTACTGAGTTGCCCTTTATATATATAAACATCTTTCAGCCTAAGGATAGAAGTTTCAGTTTCTATGAAAGTTCCACCCAAGTGAAAGATCATTTGCTGCTCTTGATAATCTTTATGAAAATTTAAATATGCATGTTGTTGAAGTCCCTTTATTAATGTAAAGGGGGACAAGGGCAAAAGCCATAATGAATGGAGAGTCTCAAAAAGTGAGGAGAAGTTTGTAAATCATTAAAATATAAGCTATGCATAAAAAGCCTCTTAATAAATATATATATATATATATACACAAATATATAGTTGACACTATAATAAAATCCTGATCCATCGACCCGAAATCAAATAAATTTATTTGCTTTGGCATTTTTTTCATTTATTATTATATCCTATCAGCAATTTCCCAAAAGATAGCCCTTTATTCTAATGATGCTGGTGGGAATGCTTTATGCTGTGTTTGGTTTGGGGATTTGGGGAGGGATTTGGAAAATGAAAGGGAAAAGGTATGTGAAACTAGGTGAAATATAGACATATTTTATTCACATTTCACCTACCTTTTCCATTTCCCTTTCCAAATCCCTCCCCAAATCTCCCAACCAAACACAGTATTAGTGTCTGTTTAATACGTTGGGTCTTGTAGTATGCATAGGGTTTTAAATATTAACCCATATTTGTCATATAGTTTGATATGTATTGGGATTATCCATATTAGAAGTATTAAGTTTCCATATGTATCTCGTTATTGTTAATTAATATTTTATGTTATCTTGTAATAGTGCAGGGATGTCGGGCTTGTCAAGAAGAGGTTAGAAGAGATGGGAATGAGATACGTGACGGCGGTGGTAGAGGAAGAAGGGATTCAGGTGGATCAGGTGTTCTTCCATGACCCAGATGGCTACATGGTCGAACTGTGCAACTGTGAGAACATTCCAATCATGCCCATCTCTTCATGCTCATTCAAGCCCAAGCATGGAAACAACAACTACAAGAAGATGGAAGCAACCAAGTGTGGACTCATGGAGACTTTCATGATGGAGACCCTTAGCATGGACATGATGAACTTTTCATTCTAGTTATTATAATGGTTGTGAAAGATTGAAGAACTCTTTTCTACCTACTTTCAATTTGTTTATTATATGGAGAATTTTATGATAATTTTGTGTTACAAAGTCCTTGGTTTGGTGGGACAATATATGAATTGTTTTGTGAAATAAGATTGTAAGATTCAATTTGATGTACTTTTCTTTCTATGTATAAGATTGTGTTTTGTTGATTCCAATAAAGATGAAATGAAAATTCTCAATGTTTATTTACCCAGAAAATCGTACAATAAATTATTACAAACAACGTAAAAATAAAAAGATGACTCAATTAATAATCAAGATTGATTGTACCATTCTTTATAAAAGTGATACATAATTTTTGAGTTTATATGGCATTACGAATTTACTCATTACTTTAAAGTTCACTATAGATGGTTTGCAATTTTAAAAATAGGAAAATGGTTGAGGCCTCGAATTTGCCGCGAAATTCAATTTTTTTTTTTTCTTTTCTTCCAAAGCTATGTTAGTTTGGTTTTTTTTTTTTTTTAATTTTTTTTTCTCTCTTTTCTTTATAGGGGTGATTATATATAGGGATGTGCTAAAAAATTAAACATTTTATAAGTGAGTTGGGTTGGACTGATTGGATAATAAAATTGACTGATTAATTTTTTTTTAATTTAATTTTATTTTATTTGTTAGGCTGTGTTGTTTTTTTTTTTATTTTTAAAGGTGTTTTTTTTTTTTTTTTAAAGGTAGTTATGTGTAAGAGTGTGCCAAAAAACTAGACATCCTGTACCAACTCATCGTACAAAATAATATAGAATTAACGAATTTTAATCAACAGTCTGGCTGATCAGTCAATTAAGTTGGACCGGTTAAGTGATAAAATTGACTGATCAATTAAGTTGTTGGTTAAATTTTGTTAATTTCATATAATTTTATATGATGAGATGGTGCGAAATGTATAATATTTTATATTAGACTTTTAAAAATATATATATTAATACGCACAGTAGCCGAAGAAAAGAAAAAAAAAACGGGCATTCGAGCCAAATTTGAGGCCTCGAATTTGAGGCCTCCATCACTACTGTTAAAAATAACATGAGATTATGATTGTACAAATGAGTCATGTAATTCAAGTTCAACTTGTGTTTAATTTATTAAAAATTTGTTTGAGATTGACTCATTATCTAAATAAGTCAAGTTTGAACATAGTTTAAAACGTAATCACTTTGTTTGGTTATTGTTTTTCAAACTCAGTTTTTTGAAAATTTTAGAATACTTGTTTGTTTATTCAGAACACTAAACACATTTTTGAAAAATGCATTATTGCAAATTGAGGTTTCTCTCCAATTTAAGGAGAGACAATTTTGAAAAAAAAAATTTATCACATCAAAAAATACTCTCATCTTAGTTTTATATATATATATATATATATATGTACATGCTATATATGTAAAAAAACATAATTTGGTATGCAGCCATTTATGGATACATATCCTACCATTAAATGTGTGACTTTATCATAAAATTTGCATTTATTTCAACTACAGAAAACGTAATTTTTTTACAAATTGGCATTAAAAAAAATTGTAGCTAACTTGCAAACTTTTGCAACATGAAGTACAAAAAATTTGGACATTTTGTTATGCCAATTTCAAACGATGTTACACATGTTTGTGTTAATGTTACAATATTGTGTGATAAAATAATTTTTTTGCATAACATTTATAAAAACTTAATTTGAAAAAACTTAATTTTACGTAAGAAATTTTTTAATGCCAATTTGAAAAAAAAAAATTTACGTTTTCTGTGGTTGAAATGAGTGAAAATTTTATAATAAAGTCACACAGTTAATGATAGGATATGTACCCATAAATGGATACATACTAAATTATGTTTTCATATATATATAGCATGCACATATATATACATATATATATGAGAGGGAGTTTTATACGTGCATTAGGGCCGAGCTAGGCCCAGGCATAGCAATGGGCCGTTTTGTGGGCCGAGGTAAAAAAGGCTTTGTGAAGTGGACCATGATGTTAGTGTTTAGCTCGGTTCAGTCACCGCGGTCGGGATGGTGGGCTCCTTAAGCTAGACCTTGCCTCTTTAGCTCGGTCAAGGCTTGCTGCAGATTAGCCCGGTCCAAACAGGTGAAAACCGAGGTACAAGTGAAACATGAGCCGAGATACATGTTGCATATAAAGGTGCCGGGATAAGTATAAAAGAGATAGTGTCATCTCAGTCATACTATTGTCAAAACCGGGGTAAAACCATCTCACTTGGTTTAAGCAGTAAGGGGGGTGTTGAAGGATAAATATTATCTTTCAGGAGTGCAATTCCTAGGAGGACTCCACATGAAGGACTAAGAGTCCTACTAGGATTGTGCCACGTGGAACCTTTAAAAGCTCATGACCAGACCTTTGTACAGGTATCCCAATTTTTACTCTAGAATACACAGAGCTTATTGTCTATTGTCTAGTTGCTGACTTAGGTATCGGAGTGGTTTCCGGCACACACCCGCCGGTTAGCTCACGTTTGTGTTTTCAGGTAGCAAAACGACGACGTTTGGAGGAGTGCAAACTTGATCAACAGAATCATACGAAAAAAATTATTTCGTGCTCGTACAATATATATATATATATATATATAATTAAGATGAGAGTATTTTTTGATGTAACAAAATTTTTT